TCAGGGAAAGGTGCCCCTTCCGCTACTGCGCATGGGCGGGGACCCGCCTTCCGGGAAAAGGGCGGGGAGGGGGCGGGGAAGGAAGAGGAGGAGCGTCGCGGGGCGTGGCCTGTGGCTCCTCCTCCCGCGTGCCTGTCGCGCCTCCGGCTTCCGGGATCCCCCGGCACTGTGGCGAGGGGCCTTGGTCCCAGCGGAATGATGGGAGTTGTCATCCCGCCTCAGTGAGGCTGTCCTATTTGGGGAGCACCTTGAGAGGGCAGGATTCTCTGGAAAAAGACAAGAATGTTGGGAAAGGCAGCAGGAAAAGAGGGGGACCCAACAGGAGGTGCCTCCACTCCCTAAGGAAGCCACCGGCTTGGGTCTGCCGGAGCCGAGCAGGGCTGTCGAGGACAGGACCTGTTGGAGGAGATGATCGCTCCTTTGGGGGGCTCTTGGCCACCGACTGCCCCGGGGCTGCTCTTCAAGGCGGCTTTCAGAGGCTTCCTAGAGGTCACCCAAACGGAGGAAGGCGTGGGTTGGCATGCCGTTGCCGTTGCCCCTGCCGGCGGGTCAGGGCTGGCACCTGCATGGGACCAGGCGGCCTGAGTCCAGGCAGGGTGAGCTCAGGGTGGCGGCTCTGTCTCCCTGCAGGTGACGGGCGACTTCAGGACCCTGGGTCTCCCTCCCTCTTTGCGGGCTTGAGGAGCCCTTGGGGCTACCCTGCAGTTACCAGGCGGGGCTCCCTCCAAGAAGATGCGTGGCCTCCTCTCGCAGGATGACATGGAAGCACATCTGGCCCAGGCTTCACTTGGGCAGAAAATGCTGGCAGACATGCTTCAACTTTAATGTTGCTTTTGTTTACCATTTCCCAGAATGGTATTTGCTTGATCCTTTTAATTATTTGTATACTTGTTGTTTTTAGTTTTTAATGCTGTAAGCCACCTTTGGTCCTTTTTAAGGAGAAAGATGGACTAAGAACATTTTAAATAAAATAAATTTAAATAAATAAATAATAACCTCCCTTGCTCCAAATTCCTACACAAAGCATTCTTTCTTATGCTTCAAATATGAAGAAGTGCCAAGAGCAGTATGTGCTGATAAGAACCTGTGCCCCCAGAAACTCAGATTACCTTAAAAAGAGATCCCACCCCATGAGAGATGGGAAGCTTTGGCTAAGAAAGCAAAATCTTTCATGTCTTACAAGAAAAGTTTGACCATAACAGTTTAATTGGAAAAAATAAACCAAACCAAAACAAAAAAAGATATGAAACATTTGATAGATATGACTCCAGTACCATACAATTCCCCCCTCCTCTGTATCAACATTTTTACATAAAGACAACAATTAGTCTGATTAGTGGAGGGGCTTAAATATATTTAAATCATGTAAAATATTTTCAAAGTTGCTAAAAGATACGACGCTTGGCCAATGAACAATACAGGAATATTTGTACACCTCATTTATACAAAGAGACAACAAATCAAGTCATCAGTTGTACAACAGCTTTTCCCTCGCATGGCCTCCTCCACTCCTCGACAGGCCAGCCACCTGCGCCGCCCTGCGCTTCCCCTGCCCCTGCTCATGACACATGCCCTGGAAAGAGAGCGGCTCGCTCCCCTATTCCAAAAAGGTGAAGAGTCTATTTGTTACACCAATACAGTTTCATACTAACTAGTTAATCTCTTAGTTAGTATTAGTTAAAAGCATGCTGGTAATTTTAATGCTCCTTAAACATGTAAATGCATCAAATTAAAATCCCATGTTTAAAATTTTATGAAAGAAGAATGCCAGAATTTCAATTTTTCCCTCTGACCACCTGTGCAGGAATGTATCTGCAAGACACAAGGCTCTTTAAAAGTACCATCCATGGAGAATCTCCTGCAACTGGGCATGACCTGGAGGATTCCGCAAGGGCCTCCATCGGCCCACAGTGTCAGTGAGTGCTGGATACCAACAAACCAACTAGAAAGAAGGGGGAGGGGAAGGAAGGAAGGGGGAAAGGGTGGCAGCGGCAACAATGGCAACCTCTCACACGGAGACATTTCAAAGCTCCCTGACAAAACACAGTTGCATGATCAATTAGGACATCACAGTCACGATCCAGCCCCCACATGACCTGATCTGTGCATGTGGGATGGCTTTGCTGAGCCAACAACAGGAAGTCCACAAGTTGTAGCAGAAGCCAAGGGAGTCACTCACAGCAGCAGAGAAGGGATGTTTTTGTCACAAGGCGTGTGTGTATGAGAGAGAGAGGGAGGGAGGGAGGGAGGGAGGGAGAGCAGCACAGAAGCAAGCAAAGCGACCCTGAATTCCATTGGTTTCCTCAGAAAAGGAAAGAGTTTTGGCCCTGGAGGTGGATGTTCGCTGGGCAAGGAAGAGTCCTGGGAGCACGTGGAGGCGCTCTGGCAGCAAGGAAAGAGGCAGGGCTTTGGGGGGCAGTGGCCTCATTTCGCAGCACTCTGGTGGTATCTGTGTCGCCAAACCTCTTGGATCTTCTTGCACCATTTGTGGGCATTCCCGCTTGGGTCCATCAGATAGTACGTCCTGTTGGGCTTCAAGGAGACAAGTTCTCAGTGTCCTCCTCCTGCCAATGCTGGGCAAGGTGACACCGCCAAGCCTAGCATTCAGCCAGAGCTATCAGGCTGGCAGGCCTCCCCTTCAGCTGGGTGGGTTCTGGCCAGCCTCTGGGCCCTTCTACCACCCTCCTGCCCTGAAGAGACAGAGCACACCATGCCTGGCACACCTACAGTGGGCCAAAGGAGCAAATGGCCTTGGACCACATCACTGGACAGGCATCGTCCTGTGGACCAAGACAACACACAAGCTGTTGTCTTGGTGCTGCCAACATTTCTGGATCTTGTTTCCAAGCATGGCCAGCCAAGAGCACCCAGCTTGCACATCTAAAGGAGGACAACATTACTGGCTGACTGGCTGGCCGGCAAGCTGGAAACATCATCAGGTGAACGGACCCGAGGTGTCACTTACTGTGTGAACAAAAAAGGTCTTGAAATTCTTAGCTTCTGGGCGGAGTTCCAGCGACCATGGAATCTCCCCTTTCAGAACTTTGTTAACAGGATCCACGTAATACAAGTGAGGGCCTTCAGTCAACAGCAGTTGGCGCCGGCGAGCAAACAGACCCTGCGGAAGAGAAGCAATTGGCACCTGGGGCAGAGCTGAGGCAAAAAGACTCCAGATTTACAGGGGGAACCAAGTTCCCAGGAATCTCCCAGAAGATCACCAGGGATAGTGATGTGTGTCAGCATTTGGGTTCGTGAACACAAACAATCCTCTGGGCAGCTCCTAGCTCCTGTTTCCATTCCTTTGGCATGTTCGCTATGAACCGTTTATAGCTGAAGGAAGAAAAGTGGCTCCAGTTCTTAGGAAGTACAGTTATGAAAGGCTGCACACTTAGGGTTGGGGCTGCACCTGTGCATGGCTACAGTGCTATTGTTTGCATTTCATATCATGATGCCTAATACACCGCACGGGCAGCTCTAGTCATTGGGAAATCAGGACATATGTCTATAAGTGCACTTAGGAGAACGAGAAGGAGAAGGAGAAGGAGAAGGAGAAGGAGAAGGAGAAGGAGAAGGAGAAGGAGAAAGAAAGAAAGAAAGAAAGAAAGAGGCTCCCAAAGGAGACAATGGCAAAGGAAAGCTGGAGGAGGGGCGATGAAGGGAATGCACTAAGAGAGGGCAGAGGGCCCAAAGTATGGGGAGGATGCCTTTGCAGTACAAGGCGAAGACCAGCTCTATGCAAAAATGGCCTGGTGGCTCCAGCAACCAGGCGGCAGTACAGCAGAGCTGGAACAGCTGAGCCAGAGGCATTCAGACTTTCCACCATCAGATCTCCCTTGGCAATCCCCCACGGCCACCTAGAGTGGGTGGCAGTGCTTAGTGTCCATTCTGAGTCTTACTCTTAAGAATGCCTTTTTAGAGGATCTACCTTTTAAATGCAGTTGCACTTCACACTGTTCTTAAAAGTACAGGCTTATTTCTTATTGCTTTTGTCCCCTGGCACTAAACTCTGCTCATGCCAGACACACACACGACCCCCCCACCCCACCCATGAACGCATGTAGATGCTTTCCAGCTGAGTAACTTACCTTCCTCTTGTCTACAGGCCCCATTTTCAGGATTAAATTATTTTCTACAAACTGATGCCTGAGAAGAAAATATCACTACATGTTATTTCAATTAACCAACATCAAGCCCACCTGCCCAGCCAGGCAGAGGACAATCCTCTGCAGACCCAATAAAAAGAAACCATCACAAACGCTGCCTTGGGGACTGGAACGAGCAACCTGCTAGAGGGACGCCCAGGATTAAGGAGTGGACGTGCAGCCCTCCAGATCTTTTACTCGGCAAGCCTCAATAGCAGCAGAAAGTGTCCATTCTACCAAAAAGAAGCAGGCACATATTCGGAAGGACTCGGAGGACCAGCTCAAATGGCACTGGTACAAAATGGCCATTTTTGACTCGGGTTCCATGGTGGTGGCTGGCTAGATTTCAGAACCCTACTTGCTCTGGTCCAACGTTTCAAGGGTCCAAAACCTTCGCTCAACCCACCACCGCCCACCCCCCCAGTAACCAAGTGATGTATACAGATGACCTCAAGAGTGAGACCTCTGGGGACCCTCTCTGGAAGAGGAGATCACGCTGCCAAAGAAAACCTTGTGGCTGCTCTCCAGGTAGAGCTCCACCTGACACCTCAGGAAAAAACCCAGCTTTAGAGGTCCTGTGAAGGCTTCAGACGAGGAACAGGGAACTCTCCAGATGTTGCTTCAAACTCCATGAGCCCCAGCCACCATGGCCCACTCGCCATGGCAAAAGAAAACGAACCCTCCTCCCGAGTGGCATCCAAGGGAAACGGGGCAAAGAAAATGGCTTACCAGGGATTCCCACCCGCCTGCTTTGCCAACAGTAACCGTTTCTCTTCCTCTGAGAACTGGAGGTCCAGTTCAAAAGAGTTGCTGTCCAGGTCGTGTATGTATTGCTCTATGTTGTTCCCCGAGGTCTGCGGGGCTCCCGTCTCTGGGGAAGACAGCGACTGAGAAGAGGCGGAGCCGGAAACTTGCATGCAGCCAAACTGACTCAGGAGATTGTCATACTACAAGAAATACAGCCCTCGTTTCATTTGTGCTGAACCCAAGGGGGCCCCCCTGCCCTCTCACCCTCCCTGGATGCCCCAAGGGGCTGGAGACATCCCTGGCTGGCCAGAAGAAATGGAGGAGACGCACCCCGCTGGTCACACTATGATGGGCAAGTCAAAGGAAGAATGGGGCCTGTGGGGGCTGCTGAGGGAAGGAGCGGGAGAGTGGGGCAAAACCTGTGGCCCTCACTCCTCCTGGCAGGAAAGCACAGCGCAGAGCCCAGAAGGGGGCAAGAGAACCGCTCCTTGCAGAGGGTGGGCAGAAGTCCTCTACATGGCCTGAGGAGCCTTTCCCCCTCCACAAAAGATAGTATTCATACCTGCCTGAAAGCTGGCACTACTTACATTGCCATAACAATCTTCATCATCCTCAGACATGGCAGGCAGATACGCTGTGAGCTTGGGTGGGGTCTGGAGGTGCAGATCCTCCCAGGTAATGGAATCAAAGAAAGGGTGGGCTTTTAAGGGTTCATACCCACCCATTTCTTCACAGCCTAATCGCTTGGTAGCATCGAGGACCTGAAGGAGGTAAACAGCCAGCACATCACTCATGGCCATTAACAATAAACAGAACATTTCTAAACTGTGGTTCACCTATACACTGGCGGGAGGATTCAATCATTCCTTTAGCCACCCTGACCATAAATGAAATCAATTTACCAAAAGCTTTTCTACAAGATCTTTTGCTTTGGGGAAGAACTTCTCAGGAAATTCATACTCCAGTCTGATGATCTTTTGAAATATAAGATACTCATTTCTGGAAAGGGAAAAAAAAGAATCAAGAGTCACATCTATGGAAGCCCTTCCTATGTGTCCTCTCTGAAGTTAAAAGCAAGGCAACTGTGAGGCACCAGAGAAGCAGAAGCCAAAGGTGGTATAAGCAGCAGTTGTGGTTGGGGGGCAGCAACCCTTCCCCTCCCAGAAGATCTGCATTTATCTGAGACCTTCCTTGGAAGTGAAGATCTGCATTCTTTTGGGGCAGGGTGGATCTTTCTTCTGGCAGTGGGCACGGCCGAGCCTGCTCATAGGCTCAGTCCCCCCTCCCTTACACAAGGAAAATAAGTGCAGACACCTTCGCTAAAGGTAATCTGCATGCTCAGATCATGATCCCAGTTCGAGACACGGAGGTCGTATCCAAAATCTTAGTCTTACCCGGCTCTGAACGGGGATAGTCCTGCGACAAGCTGGTATACGATGCAGCCCAGAGCCCAGAGGTCAGAACTACATCCGGGGTCGAGAAGGGGCCACAGGAGGAGACAAAATGCAAATGTTAGTGCTGTGGAGGTCACGTGCAAGGGCCTCAGATTTCAAGACATCCCAACTTGTGCACCAACTGTGTAAGACCTGGCAGAACTCTTTCCAAGTCATACTCAGGTTTGGACACAGAGCGGCTCCTGGGAGCCTGGTGAAGCAGAAAGCAGGTGCCCTTCCTGAACCAGACGGGCCTGGTTCTGCACTTTGGTGTCTAAGAATTCGAAGGAAGAATGGGAGGAGCAGCCAGACCTCAGCGAAAGCTTTCACAGAAGAGCCCAAGAGACTGCTGGCTCAAAGATCAATAATGGGGAGAAGACAACAGTTCTGTACACTAAAGACATTTCAGACAGATATTAGCTACTTGGCACCATATGATGCCTCAGGGCTCTGGAGCCTGCATGCTCCAGAGCCCTGCCTTTGGGATGCTACTAAGAAAAGAGCATTATGAGCCTCAGCCTCAAGGTGAAGTGTGCCAGGAGGCATTTCCTCTGTCCTGCCTTCCCCACGAGGGGGCTAAATTTAACTGCAGACCTCCATCTCAACAGGTAGCGGCCCTCCTGCACAACACTCACACACTCCTTTTATCCTGTACTTTCCATGTTGTCACTGTGTAGCATTTTTCTGTTCAGCAGGATACCAAATCATCATAAGAAAAAAGTGAATCGTAAATAACTTTTCAGGCTGTCTGTACCTATTTGATGCAGGTGGTCAAGGACTAAAGCACATTTCCTACAGTAACTCAACATTTGCTTGGGTAAGCTGCTGGGCTTTTCGTTGTTGTTGTGTTTTAAAATATTTTTAATATTTCGCTGGTCACTAAAAGTCATTGTGAGAAGATTTTACCTTTAAAGGCAGACTGTTTGCATGGAAGTACAGTATGTGGACATATATACAAATACAGATAGATAGCAAAGCATATAGCCTGGGAAAATGTGCACAGCATTTTGCAGTTTTGTTATCCTTAACAAATGAAGCTCAATAATCCCTCCATGTTTTGGAAACATCAACTTCAACAGTGGTTTTCCCAGGAGGACAACAGAGGTCGAAGTGCTGCGGTGTGAATTAAGCCCAAGAGGCTGGCAATAGCTTTGAGGCTGAGCTCCTGCTTCGTGGAAAGAGAGCCCAGCCACCTGCCTGACGGAGCTGCCTCCCCACTGCCCACTTGTACATCCATGCCGGTGCGGACGCACGCACACACACACATAAGCCCCCTTCAGACACCTGCTTCAGCAAACCAGGGCAGCTCACCTTTTGCAGGCAGACTTCTCCGTTAACAGCTCTGGAGACACATACTGTGCGGTTCCGACAAAGGAATTGGCCCGAGCTGAAAGAAAAAAATAAAATAAAAACCAAGAGGTCACTGCTAGGTTGCTTCCAGTCATCCCCCTTTTAGTGCGGCTGATTTAAAAAAAGAAAAAAGCAAGTGTGCACCTCTTCACTTCCTTCATGGATTTTTTTTTGGAAATGAAGGAAAAAATGGAAGAAACAGCAGGAAGACAGGAGAATGGCAGATAAAGGCTTAGACCTGTACAACCCACCCCTCCCCAATATAATTCTTGGGACTAAGGTGAAAGTCTATCAAAAGCGTCATCAAAAGAAGCCTTTTGGCCATGAAAAAATATGGCTGCAAGACACTAATGCAAACTTGTACGCCGGCCGGCCAAGAGTAGGCTGCTGTGACCTGTGCAAGGCCACCTGCACCTGCTTTACCTGCTATCTTTGCAGATCTCATGATGGCAAAGTGACTTACACACAGCAAGCCCCCCTCCCTTGCCCTTCTGGTCCCTTTGCATGTCCTTGGCCACCCCAACCCACCTGGTGGCAGCCGCCCTTTCAGATAGGCTTTTGGACTTGAAGAGAAGTCTTTCTATGTTTCTAGGCTTATTCTCCAGCAGCCAAATACATTTTTTAGCTTTATTCAGGTGGTTTAGGTCTCTGGCTGTGGAACCAGAGGCTGGGAGTTTGATTCCCCCACTGGGGCCTCCTTGACAGGGGCCAGACTCAGATGATCCATAGGGTCCCTTCTAGCTCTGCAGTTGTAAGATTATTATTTTAAGTTCTGAAGGCAGATGTCCAATCTGATTGAGACTTGTACGCTAACCAGTGTTAAGGAAGTGCACAACACAGAGATCCAGAAAGGACGTTTTGGACATTCATTGAATGTGACAGGAAATGACACACACCTTGTTTGCTGTCTGCAGACAATATCTTTGCTGTTCCAAAGTCTGTAATCTGAATGTGCATATCTTCATTTAATAAGATGTTTTCTGGCTTAAGATCCCTGGGGAAAAAATGTCGCAGCTCATGTAAAGCAGGTCTATAAAAACAACTGCAGTAGCTCCCTACTTTGGGGACACCCCTGCATCTCCCCCCCCCTCACATCCCAAACTTAAGAACTGCAGTGCTCTTGGCAGAAGAACACTGGAGAGACAGGACTCAGAGCTGAGAGGGAGGGAGAGTCAGTTGAAGTGAGTGAGCAGGTGGTGGTCTGAGGACAACAGCAGGAAGGAGCAGGCAATTAACATCTGTTCGGCCTCCTTTCCCATTAACAGTTCTTTCAGAATTCTCCGTCTCTTCCACTATGTTAGAAGCCCATTCTGACACTCTCTTTTGCTGCAAACACCTTTCTGCTCTCAGATCACTCTTCAAACAAACAAACAAGGTTTTTTCCTGTATGTAGTGCTAAAGCCCTCTCAAGTTTGTCAAAGTGGTCCTCAAGCAGTTTGTAGTATGCATATTCATGGATATGTACTATCATACATGGCCATCTAATGAGGGGGCAGAGTTAAAAATAAATGATTTTTTAAAAATCAAATTGATTTAAAATCCAATTGATTTTTAAAATATTAAATTATCAAAAGAATCTGACTGGTAAATATGTAAATCAAATCCAGCCTGCATCTACTATTATTCCAGTCTGACGGCCATTGCCATCTTAGCCTCAGACCATGAACCGACATAATGTGAACTTAGTATTTGCAGCTGTTGCTCAGGCAATCCATAGTGTCAATCATGTATGCATGGAGGGGGGGCACAGTCCAAACAAACAAAAGCCAGATTTTGCAGGGTAAGGGTGGGGCATCTGTCCTGCCTTCTGCAAAAGGCAAACATAGAAGAAGGTAGAGGCAACAAGCCTGCTAAGCTAGGAATCAGGTGGAATGGGTCTCTTTCTCCTGCAGGGAATACCATCGCTCTGAAGGAAAGCAGACCTTCCCGCTGGGCTAGCTCCATTCTGACCCTAAGGTGCATCTGCCTTCCAAGCTGGCCTGTCCTCTGGCACCAACTCAAGCCCATGTGTGCAGCCAACATTCAGGGTGACAGGTGGAAGCTAAGACGCCAGTGTACACTGCAAGTCCCTTCAAATAAGAACAGGAAGTCGGGCTCCCATTTTGACAGATACTGATCAAAAACCTATCATAGAACATGTTAGGCTGAAAAATGGAGCAAGGTGCAACCTTGTTTGAGAGGAGGGAGTCAAACAATCCTGGAGGTTGCAGGAACAGAAGTTCCAGAAAAGGCATTGAGAGCTCTTCCAATTGCTCCAAAACGTCTGGAACTAACAGGGGAAATTTATCTGTGGGTAGAAGCAGCAACAGCTCCAAACAATGTGAAGCAGTACACAGATAGATTCACTCCTGCTCTCTTACCTGTGAATAATTCCTTTTCCATGAAGGTATTCTAATGCAGCCACAATTTCAGCAGTATAAAACCTAGTACATGTCTCATCGAATGAGCCGATCTTGCGGATGTATTTTAGAAGCTCTCCGTTTTTGGCATAACTAAGGCCAAAATCTGAATGCTAAGTTAAGAATTATTTTTCCTGGATAGCTCTAGACTTTCAGATAATAAAAATGCACATTTTGGAAAATACTAAAGGAGGGCTAGGCAGAAGAAGACAGAAATCTGTCAGTATCAACAATTTTGATGGATTAGCTTAAACCCATGCAGTGTTTGTAAGGGTCAGCAATCTGCATCTCTGCATCCTTATTAAAAACTCTGTTGTCAGCAGTTTTAACATAAGGTATATCCCTGTTGCTCCGTGTTGCCAATGCTTCTTGTCCCAGCCAAGGATCACAATGAAACATTTTATCCCCAAAGGATACAGAGCTTTTCATCATCTTGAAATGTGAAGTAGAGTTTGACAAAGAAAGGGTGATCCAGACGGGACATGATATCTCGCTCCCGGGTCACGTAGGGGACCTTGTTCTCTTTTATGATGTGGCGCTTCTCCAGAATTTTAACTTTGAAAAGGAAAAGTAAGTTAGCAACAGAACCCGAGCAAGGGAACCGTACAAATATCATCCTAGCTGAGCCGCCTTCTGGAGGGAAGCCCTGAAGAACAAGCTCCCTCAAAGAATGGCAGATCTAAGAGGACCTCTCCTCTCTCAGGTGGCCAAAACAAAAAACAAAAAACAAACAAAAAACAGGAGGAAGAGAATGTTACTTACTGGCATATTCTCTGGAGGTAGACAATTCTCTGGCCAAGACCACCTGTCAGGAGAAGGAAGGAAAGCCTCGTCAGGTTTGGAGCTTAAGGCAGCCAGGAAGGTCCAGGAAGGGGCTCTTGGCCACCGCACTGGGAAAATACCCTCCCATGCCATTCAGCCATCACAGATGGCCGGCAGCCAAAGTGAGCATAACTGGCAAGGGAGGCAAACAGAGCAAAAAGATTTGCCCAAGTCCCTCTGATGAGGCCAGCCGTTCTAGAACACCTCAACAGAGGACAATGTCTCAACAGAGAAGCACAGAAAGAAGGATGGAGAGAGACTGGGGACCTTTGGCCCACGGCAGCATCGGCTCTGTTGGGATCTGTGCTCCAACCACACCACCCTGTTCAGCTCAGTGGGTCCCAGACCCATTCCCAGCAATCCCAGATATGAAAGCAAAGAGAAAAGCTTGTTCTCCGTTTTAATGTTCTCAAGGGAAGAGGCAAACCAAAACATTCTTAAAGTCACAAGAACTCTGAGTTCTCTTAGGAAGGAGATCTTGGGGAGCAAAAGGTGTGGGAAATAATGGAGAATGAGGAAATTTAGAAAAAAAAACCCCAGCCTGTCAAAGGAACAGGTGCTGAAGAACAGGAGGAAGGCACAACTTGTCAAATTTCAAGAAGGCATAGAGGGTCCTATGACAAAATGGCTCACAGCAAACCACAGAGAGCATCATCCACTTTATCTGGCCTCCAGCAAGAACTACATAAACTTTTACCTCCAGGAGACCGAGATCAAGCTGGCAGGCAAAGTTGTTAAAAGACAGCAAACCAAGCAGGCTGCAGGCCACAGGGCCAACTGGTCAGGGACTCCAAGCCCAGCCTGTTGCTGCTAATAAATAACTCACTGTGGAGAAGGATCCTTCGCCCAGAATCTTCCCAAATCTGAAGTCCTCGGGGCGTTTCTTTCGAGGCTGTGTAGGCTGCTGCAGGGACTCTGCATTTACCCGTGGTTCAGCCATGGCCCCCTCCATGCTCAGCCCTGGTCTGGTGCCACAGGAAGCAGCAACAGGAGGAGGACTGGGATCTGCTTGGTTCCTCACCATGGAGGGCGATGGGCAGGAGCACAAAACCACACTCGGCTGGATCGGGACAGCATCATACTGCAGAGAGGTTGGGGGAGAGCACATGCATGAGAGGACATGCAATCTGTTCATCACACAACTTAGGACAAAACACACCCCTCCCTGCAAGAGGCCCTTCAGAGGCACAAGGCTCAGTGTGGCCCAGAAGACCTGGCCCTGAAAAGTCACCAGCAGCACCTTCAACTGGATGGCCCAGAAGACCTGGCCCTGAAAAGTCATCAGCAGCACCTTCAACTGTCTACTTGGAAGTTAAGTCCCAAAGGGGTCAGCAGGCAGAAAAGCAGTTGCTGCCCGGAGCGCAAGAGAATGAAAGCTGGATCAAGGGTCATAAATTTGCAAGACCAGAGACTTGCACCTTCTGGAGCCCACCCTTTGCTGCCTGAGATCTCAGTTAATGGAGAGAGCTCAGGTCAGCCCATGGAGCTCCCTCCACCTGCTCCCCGCATCTGCTCTTAATCCTCACAGTCATGCTGCAAGAAGGACTGCTCTCAAGAGCATGCATAAAGCCCAGGGACACCCAGTGAGGGGGATCTGAGCCCAGATCTACTGGATTGGGCTCATCATTCTCATCCACGCCACACTGCCACTCAAAGTGTCACCAGGAAGAGTCATCTGGACATCACAGGGGACCCAATGAAGGCTGTCCACGCCCCTCTAGCAACATTGTCAAAAGTTGTCAAAAGTTGTATGAAGGCTGTCCACGCCCCTCTAGCAACACTGAGGGCAAACCCTATGTCAAAAGTTGGAAAATCAGGCATCGTAGGTCAACAGTCCAACCTTTAACATTTGGAATACACAGGCCTTTTTACATTTCCGGTCATATCTTCTTTAAAGGGTACCTCCTGAACAGCCACCCAGAGTGTCAAATAAAATGGCCACGCAATCATTGGTTTGAGGCTTCTTACCCAAAGGCAGACAATCAGGGAGGGTAGGAGTTTTACAAAATACGGAAGCCACATTCCTTGGACAGGCAAACAACACAGGACAGCCTGCGTCCTCATGTTTTCCCCACAAGCCCCTGCAGGAACATCACGTTCAGCTGAGCTGGACTACCTCGGTCTTACTCCCATTCAGTACAGAAACCACTCTGAAGGGCAAGGCTTCCAAGACATATATGTGTTTATATGTGTGTGTGTGTGTGTGTGTATGAACCCAACAAGACTAGGATCTCAGTGCAGCCCTGGGTTAGCTCTGCTTAAGAGGAATTCCCACAGAACTTCCAAGCAGGTAAGGTTCGGGACTTGGCACCTAACAGGTTTCATATCCTTCCCGATGAAAACCAGGCTGTCCTTCCCACAGAAAAATATTATCAGCTATCCTATACTGACCTTTCTCAAGTCTAACGTAAGTTTGTACTGTATTCACTCTTTGGTACCCTAGATTTCATGCTATGTTTCAATCTCTTGTTGATTTCTTTTTGGCCAGTATTTTCATTTAGAAACATCAAGCCTACACAGCAACATGTAACAGATAATGTAACATAAATTTAGCTACAGTGAAAGCAGTAAGAGAAGGTGGCTGATCCCTCTCCAAACACAGGAACCCTTATGACCTGATGTACAACAATCCAAAGACAGCCAGCTTCAAGACATCTGGAAGCGACAGATGAAATACAACCCAGTTTTATACATACTGTATCTCTAAACTAAGGAAGCACTTGCAGTAGCAACCTAGTTTTCTGCAGTTCCAAAAGGCAGGATCCAAACCCATGGGTTCAAATTAACCGAAAGAAGACTACAAAAAATACTGTTAAGAACCTCCTGACAGCAAGAGATGCTCAACAGTGGAATGGACTACCCCTCCCTGAAAGTTTTTAACCAAAGATTGGCTGGCTAGTGAGCTGTCAGGTATGGTCTAGGGTCATTTCCGCAGTTCTATAACTGGACTAATACAGAGATTGAACCTCACAACAAGTGCAACAGGGAGTAAAGGAAAAACGGGAAGGAGAAAATGCGATGCCACTAATAGACAACTTATGTCTATTCCAGCTGATAAAGAAACCACCACACACTGCCTGTAAAAGAAAGAGTGAGCCAGCTATCAAAGATGTGCCAGTTTTCCCTGAAAAGCCAATCTAAATGAGAAAACTAGAAATACACTCCGGTAACTCCACAAGCATGGTCCTTGATCACGGAATGACCCGCTAACGAAATGAACTGCAGTCAGGTTTGCTGCGGAAACAGCGGGGAACGGGTTGTTCTGAAATCACAACCGCCAACCGGAGCAGGCGGCCAAAAGCAAGGCGGGACTAAAACAGCATCAACCCCAACCATTTCTAAGCAGGTGTCTCCCCTCATATTCAAAACAGCAACAACTGGGAAAAAAGCGGAAGAGCACTTCCGGTCCCCTAACGCCTCCGAGAACGAGTGATCGGAGCTGGGACGTGGCTCGGCGGAGCTGCCCGCTCGTCACCGCCAACCGGAGCAGGCGGCCAAAAGCAAGGCGGGACTAAAACAGCATCAACCCCAACCATTTCTAAGCAGGTGTCTCCCCTCATATTCAAAACAGCAACAACTGGGAAAAAAGCGGAAGAGCACTTCCGGTCCCCTAACGCCTCCGAGAACGAGTGATCGGAGCTGGGACGTGGCTCGGCGGAGCTGCCCGCTCGTCCGGCCAGGGAGGGAGGGGGGGAGAGCGACACGGGCAGCGACCACC